GTGCATTGCCATCTATAAAAGGCTGTTCATGGTGGAGTACTGACAATCAAATGGAGGATATGTGGCCATGAGATGATAGGGAAAATTGTAACAGATTTTTTTCTACTAGAGAGAAGCCAGCATTACCTGCTACCTCTCCTGCTCTATCAAGGCACAGCCATTTACCCGCTTTTATTCTGACCTTCCGTATATCTAAAACAACATCCAAATATTCTTGGTTCAGCTCATCAAAAAAATAAACACAGTCGTAAAAAGGACACTATCAAGGCAGGCAGATTCTTGATTCACACACTCTCATAAGCCTATTACACTATCAGTCTGACCCGAGGGCTTTTTTTTTAATGGTTTAAGTATTGACGTTTACAAGAATCCTGCTTGTAAATTTCAATACCCAGTCACAAGACTTGGCAGACAGAACACAGACAGTACGTCATGTGCCTGACACTGCAAACAAACCCAGAGTGTTAGGAGCGTTTTGGTTGGTTGGCTAGCTGAGAAGCAGACATTGTTTCATTTCAGAGGGCTGATCATTTCTTCACGATTAGTGTTATGTCTTGGACGACATGTGGGAGTTTAAGATGTGACAGTCAGGGTTATTATTTAAACGATACTTTAAGCATACTGTAAAATTCAATCTGGGATCTGTTTTTCTTTGACAAGTGATCCTTTAAAAAAAAAACCAAACAAAAGGTTTTTATATATCTTGGTACTGAAATGTACACACCTTTTCTGAAGAAAAAAATTGGCAACACTAACAATAGCATTAAGTTCTGGGCTTTTGGTACTTTGAAATGATTAGAATGAATGCAATACAGGCAAGCGTGGCAGGATTTGATTAAAATCCATAGATATCAGTAAATGTTGATGTCAGCTGATGCACTGAAATCGATGAATAAAATATCCATCGGTAATGGATGGATGCAGCCTTCCCCCTGCACTTTGCACCTTCAGGGAATGGGTGTCTCAGGCCATGCACCAGCTCAAGGAGCCCTCTGCTGCCCTGCTGACATAGGAATTAGTGAGAGGGGCCATGACAGCAAGGCTGCAGTGGGTTCCTTGCACTGCTGCAGGTCCAGTGATATCCAGTCCCCGTAGGAACAAGGTGTGGGGAAGGCTGCGGAGCTGGTGAGGTAGATAAGAGACCCCCCTGGCCAGGGCTGCGAGGAGGACGACAAGCCCCTGGCCACAGGGAAGGCCACCCCACTGCTGAATAGGTTAAAATAACATAATAAAAATCTTAAAAATAAAAATAGATACACATTGAAAAAAATGTAAAATAAATATTAATCCTCAAAATTGCAAAAAAATAATAAAAAAATCCTGACAAGCCTGAATAAAGGTTTGCTGCAGTTCAAAAGTGAAGATCATTTTTTTTTCAGAATATAATATGACTGCACAATAATTTATTGCATTGCTGTAGCCATGTTGGCCCACACTTGAAGAAGAGCTCTGTATAAGCTTCTTTTTTTTTTTTTTCTGATGTGTTGTCTTTTTCAGCTCTACAGAAACTCTAGTTTCTGGTTACTTGAGCTTATAGGACAGTCTGCAAAAGCAAACACCATGTGCCAGCATCGAGGAAGGTTTGTGTCACCATTGTAGCTGCAATGCCTCAGTGGGGTCTCTCTATTTAATATTTTAAATGGTTTGTTACACAGACTTAGCGTCTGTTTCAGCTTCAGTTGCAAATTTTTGATTTAGGATAATAGACAAAACAATGTCAACAAGAAGAGGAAGGGATTGCTATGGAAGGGGCGCTTTCAGTGTTAAGTTTCAAAAATATCAGCGAACATGATGTACATGGGTATAACATCTCCCATCAAAAAGGTACCCGATACTTACACCTGCAAAGGTCCCATTCCAGATTCTGGTAGACACATTGACAAAATATTCTCCTTTCAGTGTGAGGTCTTTCAGCATGCATGTAACTGTATTACAGTGCGTGTTCTTACAGTTCTTTCAGAGAAGGTGGGGTGGGGGGGAAAAGAGGTATTAGCATGATTTTAAAAAGCATAATTCACTTTAACAAATACCACACTTTTAATTCTAAACTTCTTGGTCCTTGCTGAACAAGTTTCTTAACTTAGGTATTCTGTATGTATTAATTAAATGCTTGTTACTCATGCTAAAGCCCCCTCCTTATCTATAGGGCAGATACAGTATGAACAGTGTAAGTGAAAGCTTACTCATACTTCACCACCAACATACCTCAGCCCTAACCCAGAGGGATCTCCTCCAGCAAGAGGTCTCATTTCACACAGATTCTTAATGTTATAAGCATATTTTAATAGTTATTTATGAGGTTTAGATTAATTTAGTCAGCATTAGTGATCTCAATTGTCCAAGCACTGCAGCAATATTAATAGTCAGATGGTCGCTGTAGGAAAACCTAAAATAAACTGAACTAGACAGACACGAGCAGCAGAAAGACCAGAGTTTAAGTGAGCTGCAAGGAGTAATATTAGGGACTGTTCTGTGAAAAAGAGAACCATTTGCACACACACAATACATGCATGGACACAGGGTAATATGTAGTGGAAAATGGGCTGTGGTTATTGTGCAGAAATTTTAGCTGTAGAAAGAAAAAAATACATACAGAAGAGGAGGAAACAGCAACACAATACGATAGGCCCCTATGCTACATTGTGATGGTGGACTGCTGAGCCAGTGTGGAGCACCACTGATGCCAACAGGGCCCTGCATGGCACAGAGAGGTCTGGCTAAGTGGATTACAGTGCAGGATTGGGACCACAGATATTATAGTCACAGCTTTTCCTTACTAGTTCTTTTGCAGCTCTGAAGTTTTCTTCCTTGAAAGATGCAGAATAAGATGTTTTTCCTATTTGCAAAGGATTAATCTTTGCATCACAACTGACACCTTGAGCCTAAAAAGAAAATGCAGAATTATGCTTGGTGGAAGCATAACGGTGATTTTGTGTGTGTGTGTAAAAGATCATGCTTTTTGGAAAATACTGATAATGTATTAATTTCCTTTACAATTCAGAATTAAATTGATTTAAAATGTTTTGGTAATTCTAAAAAAATAGCTTATGTTTATCAAATTTTACAAACTGAGAAGTACATGACCTTTGACTTATGTGTAAGGTGTGAAATACTTTGAAAACATTGTCTGCACTAATATTGGACCCTGGTTTTTCTCAACATACATAAAGGAAGTGCATTCAGATAAGGTGAGTTTCTCTGAGGGCAATATTCTGAGTAAGTTCTGAATGGAGAATAATGAAGGAGCCTGTTCCATTCCTGGCAATCTTAACACCACCACATGCTTAAAACTAGTCCCAGACATGGGGCTAACTGTTGGTTAAACATTTAAGTTGAGATCCTGGTCCCATTAAAATCAGTGGAATAACTCCCATTTGGAAATCACTTAATTCTTTATGTTACAGACTTTAATTATGTGATCACATGTCGTTTTTTCCACCAGTCCTTGACAGGTACACTAGGCAATACTATTATCCCCATTTTTACAGATAGGAAATTGATCAACAGAGTGACTAAGTGACTTGCCCAAGACCATGTTGGAAGCCTGTGGCAGAGCAGGGACATGAATTCAGGCTCCTACATCCTAGGTTAGTGCCCCAACCATTGAAGCATCCTACCTCTTCCTCCTATCAACTAGGACTGAAAAGAAAGAAAGGGCGGAGATTCCCTGTTGTCAGGATGTGGGAGCCACTTTACCAGTGAATGGAGACAACATCAATACAAACATTAAAATGCAGTCTCAGGACATCACACCATGACTGCTTGTTGACTGTCTGATCCTAGGTCTCAGCTCTTATACCATTATTCTAATGAGTCTACGTTACATTTATTACACAAGTTACAGTTTGTAATTGATGTAGTTTAGTTCTTCACCTGATCTGTATCCAGTGCAGTTAGATACATCAGAGGATTGTTTCCTTTAGTCAACTGTGGACAATGGATTTTTACAGAAGCCACCTTTACTGGAATGCTTCCCGTTGTAATCTAAATAGAAAATAGCTAGTTATTAATTTATTTAGCTATAACTGGATACAAACAAATTATTGAGCTATACCAAGAACATCAAAATGCTCTAAGACTGATTAAAACTCGGAACTGGTTTCACTTCAATATTTTTTCCTATACCTATATTTATCTCTAACTGGGCAGTAATTGCATTATACCAGCATTCATGTAAAATAATTTATACCATATAGAATACCTGGCTGCTTTCAAAACAAAATAAAACCACTCTCATTAGTTGCATAAAACACTTCTGGAAAAGCAAATATTTTGTTGCAGCCAATGACCTACAAGATAGGTTACATTTACATTCCCACAGTTGTTACCATTAAATTTAGGTTTCTGCCATGTTGCATATTTGCAGCTAAACTTTTTCCAGAGTTACATAACCAATACAGTTATCAATAATCAGACTTGATCATGTACTTCCTTGAACACTGAATACTTAGCCCTTAGCCAAACTAAAGAAATCAGTGTGTCTTCTTTCAATGGCCCAAATCCTGCAAAGACTTATGAATGTGCTTAACTTTATGTACTGTGAGTAGTCCCATTGATTTCTGTCTGCAGAGGAACTGATAGACTGACTTCACTGTTAACACATATGTAAGTCTTTGCAAGATCTGGGCTAATGTGAGCAACTGGAGAACCAAACGTACATAAGACTGCCCATCATTAAATGGGAATCTTACCTTTAAGCAAGTGAAGGCTGTGCATTATGGTGGTGAAGCATTCATCCTTCAGCTATTTAGAATCATTTTCCTCATCAACCAAATTCATAAAGCAGCAAAGTGAAACGTACCAAGGACCATCTTTTTGTCTGCTCTTTGGGTACAGACTATAGATGGAAAGGCAAGATCTTGTCTCATCCCCAGAAATGTTTACTAACCTTCACTGAAAAATTGAATGCAGGGCCAATCTCTTCAAAATTATTCACAGTGGAAGGAATATTACGATCAGAATATACTTCATAGAAATTTATGCTGGTAAGCCTGGTAATCAACCATAAAACAACAGATTTTTATTTGGCAGCTCTGTAATTGGATGCTTTTTGGTTCATTATAAATCAGTGAATCAGAGTTCAGAAGTGCAATAAGAAGAGATTCAAATTATTTGTACCCTTGTTTTTAGTTTAATTAAAAAAGTTGTTTAAGAAACAGGAAACTTCTTATTGGAGCCCAAATCTCGAAGAGGATTTGAAATATAGCGCAGCACAGCAATACCATGAAGTGGTAAAAATTTGCCACTGATGTTAAAATATACACATTAAACAAGGAGTATATTATTGCTGCTGTAAACAAAAAATAAATGTTTTTATCCAGAGATTTTTGGAAATTATGATTATTGAAAAGATAACAGATGAAGAGTTGCATACATTTTAATACTAATTTCTCTACAGAATAGAGGTGTTTTAGAAGAAAATATCTGTCATGGAATGGTACAAAGACGACAGCTGGTCAGCATTTTGGGAAAAAACTCATGGATTCATCTTGCTGTTGGGACGTAGGAATTGGCACACTTGGTGAGGTGTCACATCTGGGTCTTTCAAGATATTGTAATAGTTTTTGCAAAATTGGGGCTGTTAAACACTGTATTTATGGGACAAATTATTCTAAAATTAATATCTCAGACCTTGTCTAAACTGGCCTATACTTGCAATAGTATGTAAGGTACATGTGGTTACACGCTGTAGTGAAAGGCAGGCTGCGTCCACACTCCCTGCAGCATGTAGCTACACGCACCAGTGAAAGGCTCGCATCTTCCCATTGCTGGAGCCTTTCACTGCGGCAGGAGAAGGCTCTGGCAAGGGAGACCTACTGAAGTCTTTTCCTACTGCAGTAGAAGACTGGAGACTTTTCCTGCTGCCTCCCCTCTGCCAGTCGTTCCCTGCTGTCAGATTCTTTTACTGAGGCAGGGAAACGCTCCAACTGTGGAACAAATCAGCGTAGACATGGGAGGCACGGCTTGGGTGCATAGAGAGCTGTGTAAAGTATTACGTGAGGGTTCAGGTGCGTCGGGCACTCTACTCACTTAAACAGTGCCTCAGTGTTTACACTGCTACTTATATCTGTGCTAGCTGGGAATGCACTATCTGTATTCTACATGCCACCATACATGTAGAACTACCCTCAAATTCATTGTTGCTGTGCACTTTTAAGCAGATGCCACCTTTCACCTCAAAAGTTGAGTTTGGAGTGATTGCTGTTTTTTTCTATCAGTTTAAGTTTATACATATCATTGGGATCGTTTGGCCTGAAAAAAAGCACTACAGAAAGTAAGATATTATATTTATTCCTTCACCTGCAGTTCGCTGCATGAGTACATCATATATCACCATAAATAGTTTATCCTAGATAATGAGGCTTTTCCTTGATCCCAAGCAAACTATCCATTTTGAAAAGGGCTTTCAATACATTTGAGCCAGCAATCCCACTACCGTATATACTGTACATTAATTAGATCATTAAAAACACAGCACTTTTGTTGGTGGTTTTTGTGCTGACTTAGCTAGAATACAGATGTTACAGCCAGCACTACCTATCTAGGTAATTATATAGTTGCCACCACTGCAGTATCTGAGCACTTATAATATCTGTACCTGGCTAAGTATGTATTTAGGGTCATATATGGTCTTTTTATTATTTTTCTTTTTAAAAGCCATGCAATATTATACAAAGAAGATGACGACATTTCCTGTACTTGATAAAGCAGGAATTTCTAACAGCAGCCAAATAAAGAGTGAATCTAAGGTCTCTCAGAGGCACCTCTATGTTCTAATACCTTTGACAAAAATGACAGATTCTTTTCTTTATTCAACGTACCTTGTTAAGTGAATTTCTGCATCATACCGCAGAGGAACTGACAAGTAGACCTGGTTGTCTGCTTCTTGCTCTTCATTACTTTCACTATTTATCAAAAACAGTTTGTTCACTCATGTATTATAACTCACAATTACATTTAAAATAAATTACACTGGCAATGATAGTTAAATTATATTTTAACTGTGCAGCACTGGCAGGGGATGCTTTTTAAATGAAATTATTATATAAGAATGTACTTTACCTCAAAGCATGAAAACTTATATTTGCCATATCCTGAAGATTTTTGAGATTAAAGTCAAAATTAATATCAAAATATACCTACACAAAAGATAAACAGACAAACAAACAGATTATACAATAAGCAAATTTAAAATTGCTTACAAGCAAATATAATTATAATAATTATTTATCTGCACATAAACATCGAGTGTGATGGACACACCAATGCCTGGGTGGTGTCTGCCTATGGGGGAGTAGGACAGAGGCAGAACACTGTGTGAGGCAGCAGCAGGAGCCTGGGGCACTGTCTGAGGCAGCAGCTCTGCACTTCTCAGTGACCTGCCTTTGAGCTTTAATTTTTTTCTTCCCAGGACTGCGACTCCCTGAAATTTAAGCATAGCTCTCAGCCTTCATTTTTATAGGCAAAATAAACCATCCTCTTGAAACTTAGGGATCTCTATTCCCCTGATCTTCTTAATAGCTCTTCTCTGCACCTGTTCCAATTTAAATTAATCTTTCTTGATCATGGGTGACCAGAACTGTATACAGTAATCAAGATGAGGTCTCACCAGTGCCCTGTACAATGGCATTAATTCTTCCCTATCTCTACTGGAAGTACCTTACTTGAGAGGTCTTAAAATCACATTTGCCTTTTTCATGACTGCTTCACGCTAGTGTCTCAGTCATCTTATGATCAACTAAGATACCCAGGTCTTTCTCTGCTGTTTCCAACTGATGAGCCCCCCATGTATTACAGAATTTCTGATTAGTCCCTGGCACTTCATACTATGAAATTTTAACCCACTTCTATTACTCCAGTCCTCAGGATCCTCCAGTTCTTCCTGTATAATATTCACTCCTCTGTATTGATGGTGCCTCCCAACTTTGTTTCATTAGCACACTCCCACTTGGTGCCAAGGTCATTAATGAAATTTGAAGTTATTTGGATTATATACATCCCTAAGCATTAACACAGGTGAATGAAAAGTCACACAACTCCCTGGTTGTTTCATGATCTCTGTGTGTATATAAAGTCTGCTGCAGTTTCCACGGTATACATCTGATGAAGTGAGCTGTAGCTCACGAAAGCTCATGCTCAAATAAATTGGTTAGTCTCTAAGGTGCTACAAGTACTCCTTTTCTTTTTGCGAATACAGACTAACACGGCTGTTACTCTGAAACAACTCCCTGTATTCATTCTGCTGTCTATAATCCATAACAGGTCCAATTTGACCAAAGCTGTTAAAATGGCGTCACATTCAATCCAGTGAATTGTTTGTGCACAGGGAACATGTTTCTGTTCTAACCGGCAAGCTTCTTATTGTTCCAAATTACCCTGTCATGGAATGGGAGGACTGTTTCCCTCCTGCCCCAGAGAAGAGGATGGGCTTCCTAAAACTTTAGTATCCTGAGATTTACACACCTCCTTTTAGGTGCTGGGCTACCCGCTCCTTCCATGGCAGCACAGCTCCCACAAATTGGTTATGTTTGCAGCCCTGGAGAGGGAGTTACTGTTGATGGAACCAAGCAGGAATTCCCAGCTCAACAAACTGCTCTGGACAAAGTCTCTGGTGTCTTCTTCCTAGCCAAATCTCAGAACTGTTACTCCATCTTCATCATCCTTGACTGGTCAGCTGCCTTCAACCCAGTTGACTGTGCTCCTGCTCTTGAATTCTTGACATTCCTCGGCTTCCATGACTTTGTCCTCTCCTGGTTCTCCTCCAACTCCTCCTCTCTAACTGAATCCTTCTCATCCATCATCCAACTTTCTGTGGGGATTTCACAGACTCTGCCTTCTCTCCCCCATTTTACATTTTATCTCTGGGTAATCTCATTCACAAACACAACTTCAACTACTATCTCTGTGCTGACTCTCAGATCTTTCTCTGTACTCCAGTCCTGTCTTCTTCTGTCCAAACTAACATCTCAGTCTGTCTTTCTGAAATCTCCTGGGGGGTGTCTAGCTGTCAGCTGAAGTAAACATGGCTAAAACAGAGCTCTTAATCCTTCCCCCACTCCCTTCTTTCCCAATCATTATGAATGTCACCATCATCTTGCCTGGAAATCTCTTCAGTGCCCAGGGAAGAATATCACAGAGAATGGCTACCTCCCACCTTCTGTCCCCAGCCCCCCCACCCTCACAGAGATAAAGCATTACAGTAGCATGGTAGGGAGATGCATGCTGCAGAGCCATTTCTTTCCCCAGCCCTGTGGATTTGGGGGATCTTTGTTCCATTGTTTATCATCATCAGAACAGGCAACATGTAACCCAAAGTGAGGTTTGAATCTAACCAAATCATTAATAAGAAAACAGTGCTTGTTATTTGTGAAGGGGCATCCTTTTATAAGCATTGTGGTAGGAATAACAAACTTACTTAAATACAAAATCTGAGCAGTACCTGTTGTCCCACTTTAAAAACAGGATAGCTGACTTGGCAAATGACTGATTTATGGCCAGTGCCCATCTGACATGAGACTTCAGTCCCATCAGCCTGGAGGAAAAAAAAACAAACAACCCAGATATTAGCTTCTGCTACAAAACCAGAGAATACCCTACACTACATTTTTCAATGTGACATCTACCATGTAGGGCCAAATCCACCCCTGAATTCAGCTGCAGTTCCACTATGGGCAAGCTGTTGAGAGGATGTGTAGGGGAGATTTGGACTGGGTCAGGTGAGGAGTGGGAAGATGACAGTGGGTCTGTGACTACATAGATCCACTGGCGAATTGCTTCTGTGCAACTGCTTATTGTCTAATACCCCCACAAGAGGGTTGTACTTAGAAACAAGGAATACAGATTGGAGGCCACAGCAGTACATGCTTTATATTACTAACAGCCCCAAAGTGACAGAGGAGTCACCTGTTCTTCTGGTCGTAGTGACACCTACAGCATCAACTCTTATTGTGCTTTCAAGCACAGAGTGGAGACTCCATCCCCAAGCCCTCACACAAAGTCAGTGTAAATGGGTTTTGTGCACGGGACCAGATTTGGCGGTTCCAGAAAATTAATCGAAATACGAAGTTAAACAGAGAATCCTCCTTGAATGATGGAGTTCACTTCGCTCACATTCCATTGTCTAGTTCCACATAGTTCTGGTTCTAGACTCCTTTCTGCTCTGAAGCAGAAACCCTTTTTGGGGAAAATGGGTGCCCTTGAAGACTGAACTTTCTCTAAGCCAATGGATTTTAAAAAAATCTGATTTTTGTTGTTGTTCTTTATGCAATGGAATTGTTGTGGTTGTGCTGTGCCATGGGGACTGGATGTAAGGTGCATACCACGTGAGTGACATGGAGCCCGTCTATTTGCATGCAGGAGAGCATGGGTCTTGGTTGGGCCTAGGCATTTGCTTCTTCATGAATGCTCCCATTCCTTCCCTTCCCACAACAGGCAGCCATGGAAGCATCCTGCATAAGATATTTCAACCACTGGATTCTAACCCTCACCATGCACCTTTCCAGGAGCAGCCTTGTAACCTGG